CACATATGGGCTATTGAATTCTTGAAATAATAGTAATAATGTTGCAGCATTAACGTGAATGAATCTTGAGCTCATCAGCTGCCCAGTACTTCTCCTCCAGCATGCCTAACAAGACTGAAAGCCTTAGCTTTTAGTGTTACGCATTATATACAATCCTAGACAAATAGTGGATAGTTTTATCTACGATGTAGGCCAGTTCAAAAAGTGCATCCCTCTGAGTGCTGGACTGTAACTCCCAGTATTCTTCACCAATGACTAGATTCATTAGGGCTGGTGGGAATTGTAGCCCAGCAGCATCTAGAGGTCCAGACTTTGAGCCCACCCCTGGCTTAGGGCATGCAAGCCAATTTAAAACCACAATTTACAATCCTGGGCTTATGGTATATACACTTATGGTTGGGAGGTATCGGCCCACTTGGGGGAACCTTATCGGTTTTAGAAATATAAAATCTTTTTAGGGGAAAAAAAATATCTCAAGGCAATATCTGCCTTCCAACTGATAGTCAAATGTGGTCTGAGACTGTTCAGTGGTTTCAGAATGCTAGCTAGCATTGGGAAGGGGAACAGAAAGGAGTGTATGGAGTCCTGAATTGGAAAAAATTTCCCCGAGAGCCAAACCTTCCATTGTCATACGGACGGAAGGAAGGAAGGAAGAAGCGTGGCCTTTGCTATTTTACCAATATTGAGAGGTGATGGGAATTGGAACCTAAAAACATCTGGAAGGTTTCATGTCCCCTACTCATGGTTAAGATTAACCACAGTTCAAGGTCTCCACATGACAATAAAACAAAGCAGGTTAAAGGTGGAAATGAAAGTTTCCAATTTCCTTTTTTTGCTCATACTGAAGGGGAGGAGACCACGAAAGTCTGCCTTTTGTAGATGTAATACGAAACTATAGAATAATATTACATCCAAACTAGACCTAAAGTAAGTAAGCAAAACGTGTTAGCAGTTACTTCCCCAGTGCAGGTCACACCTGAAGCTCCTTTAATCCAGTATGCCTTTCCTTTGATTTTGAAGAGCAAACATTCTTGGTAGGTGTTCTTTGTTTAACCATTTTAGCTATCAGTGGCTCTTTTATTCAGTTTATGGGATCTAGAGGATCCACCAGATACGCTGGAGAACTATCCATATAGCACACTATATGTTGTTGTTATTGTACAGTGGGCCCTAGGTATCCACTGGAGTTTGGTTCCAGGACTCCCTGTGGATACCAGAATTCATGGATGCTCAAGCCCCATTATATACAGTGATGTAGTAAAATGGTGTGACTTATTTAAGATGGTAAAATCAAGGTTTGCCTTTTGGATTTTTTCTTTTTCTTTTGATGATTATTTTCAAGCTACGGATGACTGAATCAGTGGATGCAGAATCTGTGGATATGGAGGGCCAACTGTAATTTAACACACACACACACACACACACACACACACACACCGGTTCTGTATGTGGTATATTTCGGGATAAAAATATTTGCAGAATTGTTATTTTGATTCAAACCATTTCCCAGTTTTGGCTACATATTTAAGA